CAGACAGAACTTTCCATTTCGTCTAAACCTTTTAGAGCAGGGCTGTCAAACTAGTTTTGGTTCAGGGGCCACGTACAGCCTAATTAGATGTCAAGTGGGCCAGACCAGTAAAATCATTACATAATTACTTGTAAGTAACAATATGTCCATATTTTGACCTTTAGTTTCCATGCAAAGTACAATATTCATATTTAATGATATATAATTTGACAAAACATCATGAACATGAAGTGTTTGTGCATTTTTTTAACTTTCAAAATTTATCAAGCAGGCTTGAATGAATCCGCTAGTGGGCCAGTTTTGGCCCACAGGCCTTATATTTGACACCCCTGCTTTAGAGAAACACAGCAGTTCACTAATTTCTCAAGCAACTACAGTCACAAAGCTGCATGTTAATTCTTCTGATGCCGCTTTAACTCACCACGTGCCAGAAAAAGAACCATGTGTTTACAAGAGTAAACCTGGCAGAAATAATAATAATAATAAAAAAGTCTGGGCTTTTTAAAGATGCTCTCTGCAGGAACAAGGAGGAATTAATCCAGCTTTATTAAACATACATGAATACTACAGTTCCACGTATCATGAGATGATAACATTAGGAGCCATGGTAATGGTAATTTGGGGAAATATAGGGATATAAATACTACATAAACTTCCTTTTATGGTGTTTTAATCAGTATTTAGTAGTATTTTGAATTATCCAATGACTGTTGAAGCAAAGTTGTCGTCTGATGTCTATAGTCAAAACTGATGACTTGAACATCCTTCTTCATTTATTTGTTTTTATGTCAATTTAAAGCTGCTGAGATCATTTCAAATATAGATATAAAAACACATAGTTCAAACATGAAAAAAAACACTTGGTCGCATTTAAACATATCATGAATGAATGTTAGTGTGAATATTTCTGACACGCACCCTATAAACAGAGTTTCTCTGACCCTCTGACAGTCAGTAGGTCACATCACTTCTACCCCATGAGCCAACTGGCATTTTATCTTTAATCTATCCCTAATTAACTGTCAGATGCGTTCATGTCTTCATTCCATTACCCAGCGGTGAAAGGGCATTCCGTTACCTTAGGTGGCAGGTCATTTAGTTTTTCCCAGTGACAGGACATTCCTTTGGCCGGGAATCATCGGGCGTCAAGCAAGAGCGCAGATCTGCTGTGGAATGTGCGCATATGAGACGTGAGCATGCCGAGGGTGATTTTGTGTGTGTGTTTACAGAGATGTAATACTTGACTAATCTCCATAGGAGGCCTAACAATGTATAGAGAATATTTTTAAAAAGAGATTCTTGGTTGATTAAGGTAAATATCAAAAAGAAGAGAAATGATCTGGTCAGCCCTATTGAACATCATTGTTGGCAAATGCCTGTGTGTGTGTGTCAGAGAGCAACACGTGTTAAAGACGGGTATCTCTTTGAATAAAAGGGCAATGAAGTGCTCACCTGCTGACTGGTCAAGGTGTGGATTGTGCTTTTGAAGTCAGGGCAGACCAAGGACTATTGGGGCACAAGAGGAAGGCATCACATGGAACTGAATGGTTTCACGATGGTTACCAGAGAGCAAGAGATGAAAGGACTCTGTGCGGTGGGTGACCTGAGCGAGAAATTCTCCATTAAGAGCATTAGCCTGTGTGGAGAGCGGTTGACTTTTATTAAAGTGTTTTTACACAATAGATGTCTTTAGTTCTTCAAAAATCTGCTGTCCTACAGCACGTGGTCATTTTGAAAGACACTTTGTCATATGCCTTTTCTAAATCTACAGATACACAATGTAGCTCTTTCTGACCTTTTCTGTACTTCTCCATCAGCATTCTCAAGGCACATATCGCATCTGTGGTACTCTTCCTAGGAATGAAACCATACTGTTGTTCACAAATCTCCACTTCCTGCCTCAACCTAGCTTCAACTACTCTTTC